TAAAGTAGGGTAGTCTGATGGATTCTGAAGCACCTCAGATACTTGCCTTCTCTCCTTCTGATGTAACATATATAACTGCTTTACTCTGCTGTTGTAAATATCCTATAAGAACTTCTAGGGCTTCATCGTCAAACTTCTTACACCGCATTTTCATCACATTCCATGGTATAACATAGTCTGTTGTTTCACATTGCACATTAGCATAATGTTTGGCAAGAAGCCTTTCTGCATTTTCCTTTAGACAAAGAGATTGTGACAAATAAACTGAAATGTTAAGTTCGCATCATGTGAAATTTAACATTTAAAAATCTAAAAACAATATGGACACTTAAAAGTTTAGTTCATCTTTACAATGACCCTCACAAGTCAATAAGTACAGTGCAGCCCAAAGATAAGGCAACATAGCAGACTTAAGTCTTATATATATGCTCATCTGAGGCATCTGTGTCTGCACAGAACAGTTCAAGTAACCAGAGCTCATTCACCTAATACAATTTAAAGTCAGTCTGTACCCAGCTAATGAATTAGCTATGTGGTTAATGGTACAGTTGTAGTTACAAGTTGAGAAAAAAAGGTTTTCAGTTTAGGCTAAAAGATTGTCTTGAAAATGAAAAAGGAAATAAGGTTAAAAGCTAAATAGGAAGTTAGATCTGCATATGGTTGTATGCCCAGCAGCCATGTAATTTTCACAGAATTTCCATTGTAAAATTTTTTCAAACTTCTAGAGATATATCTTAAGAGACATCAGGTGATCCCAAATAGATAAGTTCTTTAGTTGACACAATAAATAAATTTGTACCACAGGTAGAAATTCACAATGTTCTCAACTTATTTAAATTTTGACATGCTTTTGATTTTCTAGTGAGCTGCCAAGCTTAGAGAGTGATTTTATTAAAAAAAAAATAGGAATTGTTAGAATCAGTCCTGACATTGTTAACACACACCAGTTAGTCTCATCAGCAGTTAATACCTCTTGTACAAGAGTTTGTTTCTCTTTCATCCAGATGCGTAACCTCTCGCTCACTTACAATCCCAAATATATATTCCGAGAATTGGTAACGAGCATGTCAAATTGGCAATTAGTCCACCCCTATGGGGTAATGTATGAAGTTTTTTCTGTGGGAATTTGGTAAATATTTCTGACTACTGGCTCAGTGTAGAGAACATGCCAATTTTCTAGAATTACCAAGTTTGGATATTTTACTTTCTACAGTATATCACCAACATCATGCTTGGAATCACATAATACCCCATAACTAGCATCTGATACTCTCACAAAGTCCAAAATAACACTTAGTGAACATTCAGAGAAAATTGCCCGACAAGCATGCAGACAGCCAGGGCGTAATTTTTTTCATGCAAATACTATTTGGATTTTTCCTTTTTCTGTTTATTCTTCTTCGTAATTAATTCATGAAAACGTTAAGGCAAAAAGCAGTTACTGAATAAAAATCATATGCACCCAAATAGACTCATGGTCGATATCTGACACTGAGATCGTTTAATACTTCTAGTAAATGTAATCTATACCTTTGCTGCATCGACTAAAATGAATTTATCATCCAGATTTAACTCATCATCGCCTCCCATCACAGTATGGACACCCCACCAAAAAGATCTTTTCGCCAATCCAAAAGACCATGACACCCAGCCGTCGTTATTACAGGTCATAAAATCCTCTTTTCGCATAAGCTTTCCTTGCTGAGTCATTTCTTTCAGTACAATGCGAAGCCCGAGTGGTGTCAAACTGTTTCGCGTAAACCGAGTTTTCAAGGTCGCAAAATCGATAAAAATTTCTTCATGGTGCTCACATTTTTCCGAAATTGCTTTGCTCCAAAAATTTAGCTTCGAGTCCCAGTGTTTTGGGTTTACCTCTCTGCTCTCAGGAAAAGCAGAAAACATAAAATTCATTCGATCATTGTCTTCCCAATCTGCAGGTAAACATTCGCCTTTAGTCCCAGAGTCCGCCATTTTAGAACGTCGTCGTACCTCGTTTCCAGATCTCTGTCCGTGAGTTTTTCTTCAGAGCCTTAAAAACTACCTTCGCGAAAAACGGCTAGATCGCTCGAGTGCGATAAGCCACAATCCCAGACACAAAGCTGGATATTGGCCGAGTTTCTTGTTTGTTTGTTTGTTTGTTTGTTTTTTGTTGTTGTTTTTTTTTTAGCGTTACATTTACATTTACATTACATGTTATTAGGTCGGTAAAATCATCAAGATATCACACCAACCATAAAAATAAAGCAAATAACTAGATTAAGGTAATAAGGAAATGAATTAAAAAAAACAATTATGTTGATGTTGAAAATAAAAGTTGAATTACGAAAACTATATAAGCTATGTACAACTATCATTTAAAAAGGCTGATAACCTATGTTTAATTATTTCTAAGGAAGTTGACGAAACAATGCTCTCAGGGAGGCAGTTCCAGTCTGTTATAGTTCTTGGAAAAAAGGAAAATTTGAAAACGTCTTTACTTGCATATGGCACGCGAAATTTAAATTGATGGCATCCCCTCCTGCGACTCTCGGAGCGCGGTACTAAATATTCTCGATTATCTATATCAATAAGACCGCGAGTTAGCTTATACATAAGTATTAACCGAGACTGCCTTCTTCTCGTTTCCAACGTGGTCCATCCAAAATCTTCGATCATGTTAGTAACACTAGCATATCTATGATAATTCTGCGAGCAAAACCGTACTGCTTTACGTTGAACTCTTTCCAGGGCACTGAAATTTTCTTTAAAAACGGATCTCAAGCCGCACTCGCGAATTCCAACTTTTATAACTAAGGCGGGGATTGTGTGTAAAAAAAACTCCTGTAACGAAATAAGAAGCTAGAGTCCAAACTATGTGGAAAATATATATTTAATGAGGTTTTCGTTAAAATGAACAGAACATTCAGACTAAACAAAAACTGCGAAACTTTTAAAATTCCAAACTGAGAAATAACAAATTGGCTTGAACGGAAACTTAGAAAACAACTAACTCCGTAAAACAAAGAACAGAAGATAAGCGAGAATAAATTTCCACGACAATTTTCAGTATTAAGGTTAAAGTTCTTTGACGGGATTGGCTAATTTGCAAAATCACGCGCGCTGCGCGTAAATACAAAGGGGGGAGAGGAAGGAGAATTGAAATTTGAAATTTAAACACAAATTGAAATTTCCTACAATTGTGGATAGCATACACTAGTTGGCATCCGGTGTTAGCAAATAAAAGCAGGTGCTTTTTCCTTCCAGATAACTCAAGGAAAATTAGCGGTTAGCTTCATTGATATACGGCGAGAGTTGAACATAGGCGATATCCTGAGTAATGCAATGAGGAAGAGGGGCATTGTAAAATCTACAAGAAATCGATGCGGTTATCATTTCACCAGAGTTTTCGTTATTGAAAGACAACTTTGCTCCATATCCTTATCAAACATGACAGTTTTGTTGTTGTTGTTGTTGTTGTTGTTGTTGTTGTTGAAAACCAATGATAATTAGTTGGATTAGGATCGGCTAAAACAGTCACCGACGCATTTACTGCGAGTTTGATCTTCTTTAGCCGTCGCAGTGAGTTTCAATGTTATGTTTTCATATGATTTAAGAAAACTAACATCCTACGATGAAAAAAAGCTATTTGATCAAAACGTACATACAACTAAAAAACTGAGGGAATAGTGGAGGTGCACGTCCATGATCAAATATTCTAAGTGGAAACGAACTTTGACGAACATGATTTGACATAAATCGGATGGAACGTGATGCCACAATAACTTGACGCTACATCAGCCACTTATATTTGTGTTTCACGACGAAATCAATTTTAATGACAACATCAGCTGCATCGGAAGTTGAAATTTTGTTGTGTGGTAGGAGATGAAAGCGTAGTTCACAGAAGGCCGGTGAGTGAGCGAAATCAGTTTTTTGTTCTGTATCAAGTCTACCACAGTACAAATAGTCTAGCAAATTTGTGACACAAATGAGGCTATGTTCTGTTCATAAACCTGACATTTTGGGGTAGATAGGAGAGTTTTCACATTTGAAATTCATATTCACTTCGACGTGCTAAACATCACTTATCGTATTTATAGAGTTTTTGAGTTAGGAAACGAACCGAGGCCAAGACAAAACTGTGACTAGCTCAGGGGAGATCTGAACCATGACTGGCCCAAGAATTCTTGGATACGCAATTTTGTGGCAAGCTCATCTTTTCAGCAAAGTATTGGGTAGGTAGTGAGATCTTATTTCAAACGCCATCCCTTTCTACAAAAAAATAATTATCTAACTGATATTACAAGACTTGACGGCCTCTTGTACGACACACGTATCTTTATGTTTGATATTTGAGTTTGCTAACTCGGAGAAACGATGACAGACCAGCGCAGCACGTTCGCTTCACTAATGATTCGTAATGCTTTTTAAAATACACCTGCGCTCACTTTACTGACACTTACATTTTAAAAATAGATATTTGAAACGGTTCTTTTTATCATCAAAAACCTCAGTATTAAATAAAAGAACAAGATTTGGCTTGTAAATTGATCCTATTTACTCTGCCTTTTCATGAAAGATGAACTTTTCATGGCAAAATTTATTTCAAAATTTATTTCAAACTCAGATCTCGAGTCGCTATCACAGCTTGAGCAAATATCTGATAAGCCCTGCATTGTTCTCCTTCCTGACCATATGCTTCGCTAATTAACTGTAATTATGAAAATAATCTGTACTCCTTTAAAAGCACACATAATCGTTAATGGTTGAGACACACTTTCTAAATTACCAAACTATCATCTAATAAAAAGTAAAGAAATTTCCTAGAGTATGAGGTTAGGTAAATAAAAGGAGAGAAAACATTATTAGTGAAGAAACAGTAGCCTAATAAGAAGAGCAGTTATGGTGACGGAGAGGGGAGAACAACACTGCTAAATGATCAAAAATTAGAAAAAATTAGATGTATCAGCTGTGGAAAGTTCTTTTTCACGAAGGAATCGGATATGCGACGATAAATTATAATCGTGCGGCGTGAAAAAGAGAATTTTGCATGTTAAGACGATTGAGTGGTCTTCGAGTTGAATATTTTCATCGTAAATGGCAGTGGGCTATCGCAAAACTGCGTTATTATGAAATGAAAACCGTAATATCCGTCAAAATTTTTAGGACGAATTTTGTAAAAATGTCCCAATGGTGACCACAAGATACCAAAGACGAAGGGCCGGTTATTTATGCTAGAACCCAAGCCGCGGTTATGCACTCAACTGTTTTCTGCTTTCACCGAAATTAATTACGATCCGCAGAAATGAACGCAAGAAAAAATTTCCTGTCTTCATGTTTTTTTGAAATAAAATAACCACGAGGCTAAACTACGATTAACAAAGATGAAACTAGAGAATTAAGAAAAAGAGAGCAAGTCAATTGTTGTAAAACTTGCGAGATGGTATATTCTGTATACCAACAATGACACCTTGAAATTTGCATAAGAGAAGTTGTGTTGCAAGAAACCAAAAATCGTAAAAAAGCGAGTGGCTATGGTTTTTATGGCTTCCTTTTAATTTGCCTCAGATTATTATATTTATCAAATTTATTACTTTACCAGCCATTGTTACAGGTTTTTGTAGTATGGGCACTATAAATGATGTCGAAAAATCATCTTTCATGAAAGTTTCGATGTCCTTTTTTTCTCTGTTTTGAATACGTTTCTTGTTGGTCAGTCTTAATTTGATGTATTTGGCTGTAAGACATAGGTAGGGTGACTTAAAATCGGTCTCAAACCGTTAGCAATGTTAAAAGGTAATTATGGTTTATCCACTGAGTTGATAATGTAAACTGGCCACCGTAAAGAATTTCATAGCTGACGTTCAGTTTCGGGCGTTAGCCCTTCGTCAGAGCGAATGGTTGACGCTCGAAATGTCAGGTTTGGAACTTTTAACGGTGGCCAACTGTCATCATCAACTCATTTGATAAAACCATTATTACCTTGTTTTACCCCCACTCACCGATGCAGCACCGCAATTTCTTTAGAAAATTGCCCCCTTATTGGTTAGTAATGTTAGGCCGTTGTTGCTTTTGGAATATTTTCATTGATTATGTTATGTCGGAAGTCTTCGACATCTGTTGAGGTTAGGCAACAAGATTCCTCTAAGATCGCTGACCAGTTCCTCTCTCAGACTATTTAGGGTCGTAAATCCCCACTTACAATCATCAGCACTGACCAACAGATATGATTACCCATTTACGGTATAATATTTTTTTCTAAGTCTCTAAGAAATACGTAGTAGTTTATTTTGTAGAATGTACCAAATTCAAACCCGTGTTACTCCAATAATTCTCAATGTTAGTTGTTGCAGACAATCAGCAACTTCAAATGGATGGAGATGTTCTTTTTGGCGGACTTTTTCCTGTTCACAAGAGAAGTACTTTAAGCGAGAATGTATGTGGAGAAATAGATCCACAGGCTGGATTCCAATATCTGGCTGCTATGTTGTTTGCTCTCCAAAAAATCAATCATGACACGGAATTGCTGCCGAACGTCACTATTGGAGCGAAGATATTCGACACATGCAGGAGTCAGACGATTGGAGCGGACCGAGCAAAAGACTTCATCAAACACACGCTCTTGGATGAACCGAAACCTCTCGTTGGAGTCATTGGTCCTTTCACAAGCGATGTTTCCGTCGCGGTGGCGAATCTGTTGCGGGTTTTTGAAATTCCTCAGATAAGTTATGGTTCGTCGAGTGTGGAGCTAAGTAACAAGGAACTTTATGGGAATTTTTTTAGGACGATACCACCTGACTCCTTCCAAGCCCAGGCTCTGGTGGATGTCGCTCTACATTATGGCTGGACTTACGTTTACACAATCAATTCCCACGGAAATTACGGCAAGGGAGGAATGAGCATATTTCGCCAGATCGCTCGGAAAGCTGGTATCTGCATAGCAAAAGCTGAAAGTCTCCCCAGCCTTCCAAGGGAAGAAAATTATATGTCCGCCGTTCAAACGATATTACGACACAAAATTGGCAATGCCCATGTGATTGTGTTATTTACAACCCAGACTGACTCGGCTGGTTTGCTCCGTGCAGGTAAGGAGTCTGGTGTCAAAGGTCTTACTTGGCTTGGAAGCAGCGGTTGGAGCAATCGTGTTGACGTCACTGAAGGTAACGAAGAATTAGCCAATGGCTCCCTGACAGTCGGACACGGCGATGGAATCGTAAACGGATTCTTGGATTTCTTGACAAACCTTAACAATTCCTTGGGTGGAACTTCATATCCAAAAACAGACAATTTATGGTTCGAGGAAGTTGTGCAGTCTGTCTTGAAATGCGAGACTAGAGGTTCGGCACCATCCTCACTTACAGCATGCAAAAGTAACCTGTCGACGTCACTACCACGTGATATAGAACTTGCGCCAGTTCGTGTCGTTGTGAACGCGGTTTACGCTCTGGCGCATGCCCTCGACGACATGCAAAGAGATCTTTGCCCAAAGCAGACTGGAATTTGCCAGCAAATGAAAGAAACACTTAAAAAGAGAAGTCTCATTGGTTATTTGAAGAATGTAACATTCCCAGACGCATCGTATAACCTGACTTTAAAATTTAATGAGAACCAAGAAATGGATGGTACCTATAGCATCTCAAATTTTCAGCAAAGGGAAGATGGTTCATGGAAGTATGTCCGCGTTGGCACATGGAGATATCTTGGAGATTTAGCCAAAGATAAAGTAAGTGAACTGGGAATTGATAATTCCCTTGTCTCATGGGGAAATGCTGTAACTCGTCCGCCTTATTCATACTGTAGTGACTCCTGTACTCCAAAGCAAATAACAAAACCCAGAATTCTCAACTCGGAATGTTGTTGGAACTGTATATCTTGTCAAGTTAATGAAGTGATCATAAACAACACTTGCAAAGCGTGTGACCTTGGCTACAAACCAAACCCGAGTTTACAGAAGTGTGTAAAACTTGAACTTTCTCATCTTCAGTGGAATGATCCCATATCAACTTCACTAAAGGTACTCGCGGGATTCTGGGTATTCGTTGCCATAGGAACGTTTGCGTTCTACGTCATTAAACGCCATGACAGTGTGATTAAGGCAGCGGGAAGGGAACTGTCCTTTTTCATCTTTGTCGGAATAATTTTGTGTTATACAGCTTCCTTTGTTTGTTTGACTAGGCCCACCGATTTTATTTGCACACTTCGTCGTTTCATCGGAAGTACCTGTTTCACCGCCTGCTACGCGCCATTACTAATGAAAACAAATCGTATTTACCGCATATTTATTCATGCCAAGCACTCAGCAGCGAGACCGTCTTTAATAAGGCCCATGTCCCAGGTCATAATCTCCATGGGGCTCATTGCAGTACAACTTCTGCTTACGGCAGTATGGACTCTTTCGGACCCACCAAAAGCCACCGTGATTTACCATTCGCCCTTAGACGCCTCTCTCATTTGTAACGTTAGCGGCATTAGTCTTGCAGTCAACATGTCTTATAACATACTTTTGATGTTCCTTTGCACAATGTATGCATTTAAAACTCGAAGTTTTCCCAGGAATTTCAACGAAGCAAAACACATTGGTATCACCTTATACATAACATGTTCTTTGTGGATTATATTCTTACCAACGTATTTCAACGCAGAAACGTCTTCTTGGAGGGAATACGTTTATTGTAGCCTCTTCATTTTCGTAGGCTGTGTTAGTCTTATGGGTCTGCTGCTTCCTAAGGTTGCTATTGTTGTCTTAGCTAAACTACCAAAAGAAAGAGTCCATATTACTGATGATTTATCTGAAGAGAAAAATGAGTCAACCATTGATTTTTCGAAAAGAACAACCACATTTCTAAGTCTTGACCCTTCTTTGCCATTGCCAGGCTCCAAAGAACGACCGCTGAATCCCACGAGGATTGCACAAGACAATGAAGCATTCGTTTTGAACTGAAAAGCAGGTTACTATGGTAACTAAAGACGATAATTTACTAAAACATTAGAAAATTATTTAAGTAAGGATGATTTAGCTTAGGGAAGAAACTGTATCGATACACCTTTGCAGGTTCAAAGTCAGTTTGGAACTGATCAAAACAGCCCTTCCACAAGAAACTAATTTTGTTAGACATACAGCATGCAGAGATTATCTCTTCATTTGCAATTTCCTAAGTTAACTTTTAATCGCATAAATTCCGTTCTGCAGTACACATAGGTAAGCTGTTTGGAATGGATACTCGATTGAAAGCTCCTGGTAAGTGCTTGCCGGCAAAATGTTTCAAACAACTGAAACTTAAGTCCTGATCAAGCAAAGTGCATTTGATCGGTTTGTTAACTTAAGAATTATGCCGCGCGTATTAATTTATCTTGTTTGCTGAAGTGTGTCCACTCTGATACAAATCATTAACTAAAGCTAATTGTCTATAGGTCACGTGGTGGTCAATTGCATGTCATAAAATGAATTATTCAATAGAATAGTTATAATCATTGATGACGTTTAACTTTAATTAACATATCGTATTAATCAAAAACTTCGAGCAACCTTTCCTTATACTTTACGCCGAGTGACTGAAAACCGATGTTTGTTAAATGTCCATACTGCTTAAAAAATTACGAGGTAAAACAGTCTGAGTGTTTATCCTTCACAGTTGCAGTGTTTTTTTTTCTTTTAATGAAAGCGGAAAACTAGGACAAAGGAAACATTTTCCGCATTGATTGAATTAAATAGGTGTGCATAACATTTTGGTGCAGATCAGTGCATTGTGAAGGGAGTCTTTTAAGGCGCTGGTTGTGTTGAACTCAGACATGAAGACCGTGTTGTTGCTTCTCATCCTTGCTGTCACTCATGTGGCAGTTACGTCGTACATATTTGAAACTCTTGAAGTAGCAAGACGAGGTACAAATCTTTTTTTTCATTTTCTTCTTTTTTTCAATCACTTGCACGATTAATAGCCACGGAGCATGGGTAACTTTCCAACGTACAGAAAAAGCAGAAAACCTTAAGTTTACACGAAGTCCGTGCATCCTAACATTTTTTTTCTCTTGGAACATCCTCGTCGAGGAGCTTTCCATTAACTTCTTTGATGGCCGTTAATCCTCCCAGTTCACTACCAAGATCTGAAACCTATCTCTCCAAACAGATATCATCCGTCGGGTTGTTGCGAAGGACTGAGAATTCGGTTTTTTATCAATATGCTGTATCTCAGTTTCAGTCGATAAAATTTTATGGTAGCCAACTTCCACTCCATAGTATGTGGGTATAGTGAGGCGATTAAAGTGAAACAGTCAAAAATCTGTCCGGTAAGTTTCTAAAACGAAGGTGTTTATATAAAATGCTGCTCGGCACACGGGGAATCTTAAATCCCAACAGAGCACGATTTCGTCAAAAAGGCTATTAAAAACAACGAGTTTTAATGCTACAACTGACACATTTATCAGCATTTTGAAATACCATTATTTGAGATAACGAAGATATAGAAACATAAAGAGGAATGCGTCAGGACAATGTGTTTTTTTTCTCGTTACTTGAACTTTTACATTGCAAGCATTAAAGAGAATTAGTTAAAGGGCGTATCGGTTGGTTGATTTCATTCAGAGAAAGCGGAATATTTTTGGCCCTCAGGGTGAACATATTAGTCTTTATTCTCTCAAAGCGGAAAAAATACCCCGATTTGACCACAAGATCCGTTGATCATAATCCACTGAATATTTTGTAGAACTCTAAAATGTTTAGCCTACGAAGCAAGATTTTCAATTTTGTGTCTGTAATGGTTATTCGGTGATGCTAGCTTCTGTACTCTTCAAGATTCAAATGTACTAAAACTCGTGAAAACGAATTTACCCTTCATTAGGATTTAGGGCTGGGACCACTGTTTCTCCATCATCCTTGCAATAAACAACTCACTTAAACTAATACCGAAACCTATTCTTCAAACTATCAACTAAATGGTCCTGTAGCTGAGGAACAGCTCAGAACAGGCATCAGTTGATTCATTTAGTAAATGTCAAACTTGCAGTTGTGGAGGATACGGTCCAGTTTCTACTTCTCTCTTTTATTTGTCAATCTGTTTCTTGACCAGTGGTGGATAGAACCTTTTCTGAAACCTTAGGAATAAGTTGGTGGCTGAAGAAAGAGTAACTCTGTTGGTTGGAACACAACCACATTGTTCCCCATCCAGACGAAGTTATTCAACGTTTCTTCGCGATAAGCAAGTCCTTTTGTTGAAACTGTCAAGGTGATCAACAAAAAAAAACATAACACAAGCAAATAAACAAACATACAAAAAAAATTGAAGAGAAACGAGAAATGTGATGATATACCTTAGTGGTTGTTTATATAACGAAAATTTATTGTAGGTCAATGTTTTCTCTTAATGTTATATAATTTTCTCCGCGGAACAATGCTCAGGAGATCAAACGTTACACGAAATTCTCTACACTACAAATTTGGTTTGCACGGAGAAAGGTTTGAGAAAATGAGGTTTGAAATTTGAAGAATTATTTCAAAATTTCAAGTTTTCCAAAATATTATGGATTAACCGAGCCGGGATAGACTTCTTAAATGTAATTATTTGAAGACAAACACTGACGAAGTGCGTGTCTTAATCAGGACAACACTCCTCGTCTTTCTACGTGTACTTTGCGTTTGTCATGACAGAAGTGACGTTATTAAACGCTCAAGAAAGGTATGAACCTTTGTGCAATAGCCAGAACCTCGTACAATTCGGCTAGCCTTCGTATCGTCCATCTGGAATGTATATCTAACTCATCTATATCTCATATATGCAATCCTGCCGACGTCCTAAATAAACTTCAGGAATCCCCAGTGTCTTGGCGCAATTTAAAATCTCGGTAGCACCAGATAATTAGTAGGTATAATTTTTGTCGCAAGCAAAATAGAGCAGAAGTACGAGACAAAAGAAAGTATTTTTTCCGCGTTGATTCTCGAAGTATTGAATACAAACGAATTAAAAAATAAAAGAATCGGACCCTGTGTGAGAGCAGTTTATTTAGGCAACGGTTCCAGTTACTAATAAACTATTAGTGCTATTGAATTTCAAAACTGTCGAGGACGTGAATACGGGGTACCGGAGCCCCATCTAGTCTAGTAAAAAAAATGAGCTGGACTCGAGCTTACGGGAAAACCGGAATGAGGGTCTACGAATAGTGTCACATAGCGAACACTAAATGGAGTGGTATTTTCTCAATAGCCACTGACAGAAAAACAGAAAAAAATTTCTCAATCTATGTCATTAAAATAATTTCCAAGTCAAAACCGGTTTTTTCAGATGCGTCTGCGTGTTGACAGTTAAAACTCTAATTACGCAAAGTCTGACCAGTTTCCGGAAGCGTTTGCGATAAGGAAATGCACCGAAAATTCATACGACACTGTAGTAAAGCAGAAAGGTCATACTGGTGTCGATAACAAACACCTTCAAGAAAAAAAAGCCAACAAACCAAAGGATTGTAATTTATTCAAATTCGATCCACCTTTCAGGAATTTTAAAATCTATTATGGTTTTCTGTGACAACAGATATTCTGAAATAAGGCAACCACAACCACCCAGCGATTTTAGTTATGAAGAAAGTTCAGTAAACATTTTCAGTTTCCTTGGTTTAACTTGCGTTTTTTCATACTTTTAAGATGCATGCCGAGCTATCTTTTTATAGTTCATTTATCAACCGCAAAAATGTTAAGCAAAAACGAGAATATAGAAGAATATTTATTACGACCTGCTTTACAGAGAGATGCGTGATACCCTGATTAAAGATACTCATTCGAGAAGAAGAATTCGTCTGATTTCATTCGAAAATTATCTGAAGCCCTGTGTTCTCTCGTCTCTTTAGAATGTGGAACGCGGAAAATTTTTCGCTGATTATCGTCAATAAAGACTTATAATGTATTACTTGAGTCACAGTATTTTAAGTCATGTATTGATTGAAGCCACTCGGGCGGAAATACCTCATAAAAGCCCTCCAATTGTTAGAGATATAGAAAAATTTCACCTCTAAACAACACTTCAAACAATTAACTATTTATGGATGGAGTTGTCTTGCAGTGACTTACCAAAATGTGAATTACATTGGAGAATATTGCAGAAGTCCTACAAATCTTTCTCAGAGTTATTTACTCTCGCGTACTTGTTATACAGACTACAAAAGATTATCTTTAATTCCATATATTTACATAACAGAGACCAAATCATGTCATTCAATTCATGTACGGTCACATACATTTGTATCCTTATTTCATGGACGAGCTAGAAGATAAACCAGTCTGACTGAACGCTCATTTACTGCGCATGACACAAGCTCCAACGCCCCGAACGCAGTTAGGGCCTTTTGAACCACTAGGCCCACAACCAAAAGTGTTGTATATCATGATCAGTATGATCAATATGATGCAGCTAATCTTTAAGTATGCAGATAAGAAAATTGTCATCAAGTCCAGAACGCACAAATCCAAGTTGGCTCTTTACCTTAGATGCAGCTAACTGGAACTTCTAAGGATCAACACTCGCTTATTTTCTTTCGAACCAGCTGTGCTTAAAACGGGTGACACTAGAGACTTTGTGCTACCTTTAGGTTTTGTTAATCACAGTTGACAATATAGGCGATCCCTAGAAGTTGCAGTTGATGGAGGGAATTCTTATTTTCATTTACCGATTTCTTGCTTAGTCGGTTCTTTTAAGCACAAATGTAGCTTCAACTCGAGCTGAGGTAAGCAACCTATTTTAAAAATTAGAGTATGATACAGAAAGAACTAAGGTTATAATTAATTGACAGAGTCGAGTGCCCAGTTCACCGTGCACTACTAAGCTACATAAAACAAACTATGGCCCCGGCCTCGTCGATAACATGTTTGTCTTAAAGATCAGTTTTTATCGGTGCTAATTTTAGATGTGACCACGGGTATCGAATTTATGGCAAGGCTCTTCAAGGTCAAGGTAGTTCAGTTCTTAAGGTAAAAGAACCTATTGATAAACAAAACAATGATATAACCGCAGGTGGGAACAGAACAATAATAATTTCAATTGACGACATAATATTGTTGAATATTCTATCAAATTCACTTGGAATAAATTTTCCAATTTTCGTACCACGCTGTCATGCAAATCTAGATTTAAAGAAAGCAACTAAAGAATGATGAGAAAAGTGAACAATGTGCAAATAGAGCCGGATGAATGGATGAATGGATAAAATTGAATAGATAGATTGGTGAATGGATGAATCAATCAATTGGAGCTCATATGTGGGATCCAGCAATTGCTCACACAAAAATGTTGCAGTAAATGTCACGACGATGATTGCCTTCATGTACATGTATTGAGGCATTAGTTTATCTTATCTGAGATAATTGTATTCAAGCTACAGACGGTACATGTCAGTCTATTGATGGAGTAACGGCCAATTAAAAATGAGCTATGAGGAGAGATGAAGATCAGATAATTCATACCACAGACCAGAATCAGAAAACATCTCACAAAAAAAGGACAGAATTAATATTAAATTAATATTAAAACATCTCACAAAAAATTACAGAATTAATATAAAATCAATTAATATTGAATTAATATTAAAACACCTCACAAAATAGTACTGAATTAATATTTTAGTGCACAGGAGGAGAAAATGTTTCTCTCATGAATTTTTCAGATGAAGAGGAGTTTGTAAACAATCAAGATACAGGGACCGATGTTAGGCGAGCTGATCCACTTGGAGATCGAACTGGAATTCTATCTGATGGTCCATCTGGTGAGGGTGAAGGCTCAGGAGGTGAGGATGATCATGATAGTCGATGACAGGTCAAACTATCCCACGCAATCGAACTAAAACAATCATGCTTTGCCATTGGTTTATATATACCATAGAAGTAGATAGTTCTTTTCAGGACGGCACTGATTTGCTACCTTGGAGGAGATTGAGAAGCACTTTTCACCTCCAAACAGACAAAATCGCGAGTCAAGAATCTAATTAATGACAATCTTTTTTTTTTTTTGCAGGTAATAAGCACAATGCTATTTTAAGGTTTTTTTTTTTTTTTTGGCGAATACAAATATAGACTTACTAGACAGTTGTTATTATAATAAACGGACGGACCTGGTCAACAGACGATTCTCTTCTTTGGAAATGGATTAAATTATTAAAAATTTATTATTTAATTAAATTATTTAAACTGTTTTATTTTCTTTGTCTCTATTTCAGTTTCCCCGCCGGACGAAGGTAAGTGCCACTCATTTCAGTTCTTGCCCCCTCCCCCGTTTTGTGTTAAAGTTTCAAATGATTTAAAGCCCTAGTTATATTCGTGAATTGTTGTAAACTTCCGAGCCATCTAGGAGCTGAGTTTACGATCACCAACCAATCACCTGTTAGTGGTATCTAGATTGAGGTAATAATTTTATGGTTATATCGTGCTTTTCCGGTTTCCGCCCCTAAACTTTGGAACAATTTTCCAGAGTTATAAAATGTAGTTTAAATCTTACATCTTTTAAGATCAACTTTATAACTTGTCTTTTATAGCGCTATTTTAACTTGTAGTTTTGCTTTGGTATTTTTCGAAATTTTTATTTATTAAGTTACTGCTTTAAACATTTTATTATAAAGCGCCCTAGAGCTCCACAATAGCACGCCATAGAAATTTTGCATTATTCATATTATTTTTTGTAACACCTGTTCATTTTTTATAGAGGTCATTGTTACTTGTGGACAGAACGAGATGTCCATCAGCATTCCGAAATCCCTTCTTAATGGCCTGGACGTGGAACATATCCGTCTTACTGATGTAGATTGTGGAGCCACAGAAAACCCAGCTCGCGACCGCTACATTCTTCAGACGGACCTGACAGGATGTGGCACATCAAGCAGGCACATCAGGAATTTCGTGACTTACATGAATAAGGTGGAGGAGATTCCCGTGGAGGATGATCAGGTAATCACACGTGTCCGTGAAGTGGAGATACCTTTCACTTGCGCTTACTCAAACACGGGAGTCGTGTCGGCCGTTGGTCTGCAAGTGGAGAGCAAAAAAATTGTTTTCTCCGAGAAAGGAATGGGAAAGTTCGTACTGGAGATGAAGATTTTCCCAGATGATTCATATGAAGGTCAATACACGAAGCGAGATTTTCCAGTGACCGTGCCATTGAGGAAAGTATTGTACGTGCAAGTAAGCGTGGACACAGATGATTCGGATCTAGCAATTTTAGCAGAAACGTGTTTTGCCACGCCCGATGCCAATCCCAATAAAGAGGGACTGAAATACGTATTCATCAAAGACGGGTATGAATAATTTATTGTTACTTTTGTGTTACGCCACTGACAGATGTAATTGTAGACTTAGCTTCTCTTACAGCCTGCGTTCAAGCTCGTAACGCAACATGCATGCTCCATGGAGATAAGCATTATGCGACAGCCGAGACGGACGAATTCCTTGGGTTAACTCGAGAGAGGAGAGACACATTTTCCTATCTATCCTACCTCCGTTCCTCTAATCCTCGATTTGCAATACCTGGCTGTTCCGACTTGCTAAGTAAAACCTCTCCCATAAATTTCAGTACTCATTCCTTCACTTAAAAGCTGTTTACGATTCAAGGCATTGTCACATTACCGGGCTCAGCAGTGTATGGCGATACAGCGGCTTGGTTTTATGATTATCCTCATATGAAACGTTTTCACTTAATATTTAGTTTGAACTTCTTTGGTAATAAAGCCATTCTCAGAAAATAACTGGTCTGCCCATCAAAAGTTACATCTAAGACGCTATATGACAGTAAAATACCAAAAATTCAGAATTTCCCGTAGATATCTTTTTACCACCACTTAGAGCTCCACTGGCATGCAACCTTATCATCAGACCTCAGATGCAGTCAGTGTCAAAGGATTGTAAATATGACTTCCTTTACAGATGTTCCGAAGACGACACCTTGGAGTACAAGGAATCGAGTGATAAAAGAAGGCAGCGGTTTAGCTTAGAGGCGTTCAAGTTCCTGGGTGACAATCAGTTTGTGTACATGCATTGCAAGGTCAAGATATGTGACGCAAATGATACTAACTCACGCTGCGCACAGGGCTGTCTGCGTAATTCCCGACGAAGAAGGTCGCTGTACACTCAGGAAACAAATGATGATGAGTATCTATTGGCCCAGGGACCTTTCATGCGGGGAACAGAGGAAAGCGATGATACAGACTCGCAGGTGGATATCGAACTTCATGAGATTGAAAACAGCGGTAAGTTCTACCTTACAACGGCACTAGAGAACACCATATTGTCTTGATAAATTTTCACGAGGAGAGTGAGCCTCGCGAGAAAGTAACGTTTGCCTAGAAAATTGCGTGCCCTAATGCCTGGTGCATTGGACTCCCATATGGAGAGGCCCTGGTTTGAGCCTTTATTAAGTAATTTTACTGGCTTTTAGTAAGATGCACTTTACACTCACCATATCTCTCTTCAGGCGCGTTGACATGAGTAACAGGGAACGGTCAGAGACGTTACAAAGAAGATATTACGGGTTTAGACTACGACCATATTTAGATTAAGTAGTAGCACTCCTTGTGCTATGGTAGGGAGGCCACATGGCTAGTGAGCCTTTAGAAATTCTGATTAGCTACTCTTTGAAAGGAGAGGGGTTCCTTACTCAGAGGATAAAACCCATCTGACATTATAAGTGACTTTGACAGATCTTGTTTTCACTCTCTTTACCGTCTCAATGACTTTTCCCGAACACTGTCTTTTTCTAATTGAGACCTTGAAACAAATGTAAAGGAATGAGCTTTCCTACTAAACAATAACAAAAAAATCATCCCTTTTCAGGTCAACTCACCCCTCTTGTTGCTGCTATGGCTGTTTTTGCTGCTGTCTGTGTTATGGGTGTGTCGTACTTCGCCTGGAACTTGAAGAGGAAGCGCAGAGTTGTTCGTGGTTATCAGCTCCTCACTGCCCCCACTGATGACTGACAACTTCGACTGGGATAAGGAGCTGGACAGTCGTGATCTTTTTACAACCGCTATACTAATTCTAGTTTTGAAATAGCCAATTTCCGAATTACCGTTGGCCTCATTTTTAAAACGAGTCCTGGTGCTCATCCTTTCATATGATTATAAGTTTTCATTCAAATGCAAATTAAACTCATTTTCACAAGAATTAGGTTGTATTAGAGAGCACTCTTTATTTTTAAGAAAAACAAACAACAAATTCATGTGCGTGATGTAAGAAGGTCGCCGTAAGGAGCGAATGAGTTTTACCTTTAAACTTTTCGCATTGTGAGTAGTTTACTTTCAAAAGAGTTAAAGTTATGTTATTCTTTTAATATTTAATCACCAGTACCCCAGTGTAAACCGAAAATTTTTGCTGGTCAATCTGTTATTATGCATGTTACATTATATTCACCAAAACGTGATTAACATAAGTTTCACATGAAATAAAAATCATATTAACCCGATTGATAATGGTTGACGATTTAATCCGCTTACGATAGAAGTAACAACCAAAGTTACAAATCGCACATCATAAAAATGATTACAAAAAAAGCTGAAAATGGACGGGGTAATCAGGAACATCATACTGTATAAACTGACCCATAAGATGACACAGATTTTGTTTTGTTCAGGCGCCTTCATTCGTCATTTCTAGAGTATTCTGTGGTGTTTATATTTTATGTGTTCAAGAAATTTATCAAAATCACTGTTTAGGTAAGAGATGAGACGATTTAACAAAGCCTGTTAAGATGACCTGTGCCGTTTAAAGAATTTTCTTTGATTTCTAGAAGTATTTTTAGCAAACAGTTCTTAAGCTATTTGTGGTCAATGTCGTCTGCAAGCACAAAAGGCACCGTACTGAGTTTTTCTTTGCACATTACAATCTTCCTAACGCTCAGTTAGTTTCAATCAACACCCCACCAGTTTCAAATTTATCGCCCTATGATTTCCCCCATCCCCCCCATTGGCAGTAAATTGGCAGTCAGTTTTCTATAGTCTCCCCTTAACAATCTGTTGGAAACGACTGATCCCCTCCTCCGATTCCCTTAAAAACCGGGCGAAACCCCCCTCCCGCCCAGAAAAGTCCTCCGCCCGCCGCCCCCCTCCCCCAAGGTGATAACTAATGACTAGCTCCCTAACATGCTTTAAGCCTCGCATATGATCGCAGACGATCGCAGGCGATCGCACTCGATCGCCAGCGATCGTCTGCGATTATATGTGAACAGCTCTGCGATCGTGTGCGATCGAGTGCGATCGCGATCGCAGGCGATCGCAGAAACTATTCGTGCGATCAGTTGCGATCGTCTGCGATCGAGTGCGATCATATGTGGACAAAGTTCTGCGATCATGCGATTGGAATGTGTCCAATAATGCTATGCAAGCGGCATGATACCATGACAACTAGTTGTTTATCAACTTTTACACGTGCGTGTGTTTTGACAAGATGGAAGGTGTAATTGATACGGACCAGTTTATGGAAGAAATTAGGAAATACGATTGTTTGTTCAATCGCATTAACAAACAATTCTCTCTTTCTTAAGACTTTCTGCACCAAGAAGCGACGTTTCTTCTTTGATCTGGCAGCGATTCTCCGTTTAAGTAAAGACAACAGAAGATAGATAGATCACTCTATTTATACACGGTAAATTCCACTCAGTCGTATACAAGCAATATACTATACAAATGTAAAACTTAAAACTACATAATCATTATAAAATATATACAAAGATTAAAAGCCTAATCTAAACGAACTCAACTAAATTATTATTAGAATGAAAATAAATGAAAATAAAAGTACTGCTTTTTCAGGGACGCCGTGTCATTAGTTCACTCAAAACTGAAGTTACTTAGGGCTTAGGGTGAGTGTTAGGGGTGTGGTTGTGTGTGAGTGTCCGCAATAACCCATGTTCGAATCCTGGTCACGACAATTTTTTTCCTTTTATTCTAAAATCAACGTTTTTTGAATATTCGTTTTATCTTGAAATAATTTTCCCTAAGGGAGGATTAAACACCATCTTAGGTTTCATTATTTTTATTGTTTTTTCCTTGGATTCTCTAATAACCTTATCAAAATTATGAGGTTTCATATAAGCTCGAATATGACGCGTCATTCTCCTTAAAGAATCCTCACCCGCGTATGAAATAAT